TAAAGGAGGCACTGAGGAAGAGGATACAGTACAGGCTGGGATCCTTAGCTTCAAACCACACATGGGCCTTAGAGGTCTGTGATATTTGTGAAGTGGGACAATTTGATGTGTTTGTGCAGTCGTGCATCTGAGAATAGGGTTCACAGATTTTACCAGATTGCCAAAGGGGTCTGTGACCCAACAAATTACAACCCAGGGTGGTACTGATTGCTGTTGGGATGGGGAAACTGGGTGGGTGGAGGACCAGTGTGAGAGGTTTACTTTTCAATGGATGCTCTTTTTCTTCTGTTCGAATGTTTAACTATGGTATATATCACCTGTTCAAAAAGGAAATAACTTAAAACAAAGTCTTGAAGTTGCAGAGAAAGAAGAGAGACCAGAGAGAGGGTCCTGGGGATAAGCAGATGAGGCAGGTGGAGACGCAGCCGCCACCGAGGCAGCGCAAGAACCGGAATCGAACATGCGGTGGTTCTGCCAAGGGAGGAGGGCTCTGGTTTTTTTAAGTGAACCCTATGCCCACAGTGGGCCTCAAACTCTCCACCCTGAGATCAAGAGTAGTGTGTTCTACTGACTGAGCCAGCCAGGCGCCCCGGGAAGAGGGCTTGGTCAAATGTAGCCAAAGGAAAAGATGAGGAAAAAGGCCCAGTGCCTGGGCCTTGTGTCTGAAGCTTCTAATATGCATACTGAAGATGGTGGTGGCAGGGCCTCCCCTGTGAGGGGTGCCACACACACCACCAGCCTCCCTCCTCCTCACTCAGCCAGCCCCATCAGCCCAACCCATCTGTGCGTTCCCTCCAGACGCCTACAGGGACGAGCTCAGAACAGACGGAAGCTGAAGCCACGCTCCCCCCAGACTTGGAAGGTGGGGTCTTCTCTGAGAGCCAGGCCATTCTTCTCCCTCTCTCTGATGGAGGCAGAGTCGCACGGGCTGCTGATCCGCTGGTGGGAGAGATCAGCAAAGGGCCCTGGGGCCTGAGCTGCTTCTGCCAGGTAAGGTCTTCTCCGCCCTCGTGCTCCTCTTAACCACTGTGATTTTGTCTGCGCCCCTTTACGAGCCAGCCCCTGCCACCCCCGCAGTCCCTGGCCCACAAGGCGTCCTGATGGGCCAACAGCAGGAAGTGTGTGTGCTTTGCTCTGAGGGGTCGGAGGCAACGCCGGTCCTGTGTCTTAAAGGCATCCCTCTGCTCTAGCCTCTGCTCAGAGTTGGGCCTTCATGCCCTGCTGCATCTAACCCTCTCTAGAGAGACTGGGGCAAGGTCTCTCCTCTTCGAAAAGCCTGCCAGTCACAGAAGGGGATTTCACAAGTCTTCTCGGTTAAACCCTCACTCCCAGAAAGCCCACCCATGCATACATCATCTCAGTAATCTAACAGTTCTATCCACATCAGTCTAAGTCCATTTTTCCTGGACATCCATCCACAAATACCTGTTGTTCCCCTCAAGTACTGCCAAATGCCAGTCACTGCACTGGGCCCTATGGGAAAAACAAATACAGGTAAGACACTACTCCTGCCCTCTGGGAGCTTACAATTGAGCTGGAGAGAAGGGACAAGGGGGTCAACAGCAGCAAACTGGGCATTTTGACTATCTGGGGGCTATGTCATGTGCCCTAAGAATTCTGAACAGAAGAAACCGAATTTGGAGACAGATTTTAGGAACTGGGTCTTGAAGGATATATGCAGGCTGTAGCAAATGGGGGAAAGAAGAAAAAAACTCCGTGGGGAAACTACGTGAGCAAATGCACAAGAGACACGAGACATGGTGGGCGGCCCACTGCGTGATATAAAGACCCTCCCTGTGAGAAGGCAGCAAAACTTGAGGGGATGGTACAGCTGAGTTGTCAAGGGGCCCCAAAACCAGATAAGAGCATCCTGCTTCTTAGTCCTTTATCATCTTGGTGGCTCTCTGATGGATATGCTCAAGGCGCGTCATCTATTTTTTTTCTTTTTCTTTTTTGGTAATCTTTACCCCCAACGTGGGGCTCAAACTCACAACCCTGAGATTAGGAGTTACACCCTCCACCAACTGAGCCAGCCAAGTGCCCCTCATCTATTTGACTCTTGATGGCCATGCTCCATGGTTTGGTGGCCTGGTACCCAAGGTGCGAATACAAACTCAGTGGGAGCCTTGCAAGCGTTTTAGTTAGTACTCAGTCCCACTATTTTCTGGATAGAGAAAGTCACTCTCAATCTCTCTGCCTTTCTGGACCTCAGCTCTCCCAATTATAAAGTAAAGATAACAATACCTACCTTGTAGGATGGTCATGAGGACTAAATGCAAATGCAAGTATCTTTGTAATTTGTCAAATATAGAAATGAGCCATGGAAGTAATGTTCTTTTACAATCTGTGTCCTGATCCCTTATTCAGGTACCCAGACAGCTTGCTGACTACTCAAAGCACAGCAGCGCCCCGGAGATACAAATCTAAGGGGCACCTGGCTGGCTCAGTTGGTAGAGCATGTGACTCTTCATCTTAGGGTTATGAGTTCGAGCCTCACAATGGGTGTAGAGATTACTTTAAAAAATAAATAAAAGAGGGGCACCTGGGTGGTTCAGTTGGTTAAGTGTCTGCCTTGGGCTCAGGTCATGATCTCAGGGTCCAGGGATGGACCCCTGCTTTGGGCTCCCCACTCAGTGGGGAGTCTGCTTCTCCCTCTCCCTCTGCCCCTCCCCCTGCTCATGCTCTCTCTAATAGATAAATATAATCTTTAATAAATAAATAATAAAAAGAAAAAAGAAAAACATTTTTAAGTTGCCGTCTACAAGGTCCAACTTGCCTCCAAAAGACTCACAGGTAACCCTCATAGGTAGCCCCCATTATTAGATTTGTTGTTTTGAGGGGTATTGGGGGAAGAGGAAGGAAGATTGGCAACTGAAGCCTAAGTGATGGTATTATACTGCACAGTTTTCCATTTTTTTGTCCCAGTTCTAATTTGTCTTTAGGCAGAGGACCTGTGCTGATTTAAAGTATTTCTCTGAAAGGAAGTCGTCAGAGCTCTGGAGACCAGGGATGGCAGGTGCTACAGGACACCTGTGGCAGGTGAGGAGGGGCACTAAGCAAAGGGTGGCAGCAGAGAACACTGCGGGGTTTCCCTGGCCAAAGCAAAGGGCAAGAGGCATGCTGAAGGTACCTGACAGGGTGGCTAGGGAGAGAATCACCTTGGCCTTTTTTTTTAAGATTTTACTGACTCAAGAGAGAGAGAGAGCGAGCGGGGGGGGGGGGGCAAGAGAGGGAGAAGCAGGCTCAGGGAGCCTGACACGGGGCTCGGTCATGACCTAAGCCAAAGGCAGGCGCTTAACTGAGCCACCCAGGTGCCCCCTCTGATTTATAGTTTCAGGCACAAAAAGGGATTGAGCCAGTGGGACTTGTTTTTCTGAAATCTAGGCTGCTGGTGACCCAGGACCGTGTGAGCCGGGGACTTCAGTCCAGAACAATGAAGATTTGCTTTCACCATCGCCACCCTCACTTCTCTCCCCGCCTATGCGGAGCATTCTCTGAGGTCAGGTAGGAAGTGCAGTGTGTCGGCATTCGGAGGAACAGGAATAATGATGGCCGGTAGTAATGACAAGCTCTTGGGTTCCAAGCCCTCTCCATGGACTGTTTCATTTCAGCCTCACACCGTTCCTGAGACAGGTGCTACTGTTAGCTTTTCCTTTTCACACATGAGGGGTCCAAGTCACAGAGTGACAAACCGCCCAGCTTACTCAGCCGGTTTGTGACAGCAGAGCCATCTGGAGCATGTGGCATTGCTCCGGAGCAGGGCCATTCTGTTGGGACAGTGAAGGCCCCCTGGCTTGGATGGGCCCAGGAGTTCAGAAAAGGCTAATTTTCAGCACTACCCATTTCAGCACTACCCATTCTAAACAAGTAGGCTTTCACGATGCTTGAAAGTCGATGAAAGCTCCCTTCCTTCCTGGAACACTGGCTAGAGTTTGACAAGTCTCTGATTTCCAAGGTCACTGCTTCCCGCCCCTGCAAGCCAGCACGGACTGGCTCCTTTCCAGTCTTCAGGCCCCTCATCCATCTACCATTGCCCTCAAAAATAACTGCTTAATGGCCCTCCAGTAACTGCAGCCAACTCCTTAAGGGCTCTTGAGAGGAGATCATGTGGGAAAGCTAACAGAACTCATCCAACTTTTAAAGTGAGCTTTGATCAGCTCTTTCCTTGCCTCCACCTTCCCAGATGATTTAAATTGGTCTGCTTCACCTCTCACAGAGCTCTCTCCACCAAGAGCACACGGAGAGCAAATCCGTCCTGGATATAAAGTGCAAAAGTTGGGAGGGAAGAGAAGGGATGTTTGAAGCCAGAAGGTTCAGACCCAGTTCTGAGACCAGAACTCCTTTCCTGCATCCAGCTGACTAGCGACTTCACCTGGTTGCCATAGAAACATCAGTCTCTGTTGGATGGCAAGCAGCATTTTTGACAGAAAGCATCAGAGGCTACCATGGTAACACCAAAAAGAGTAAAAGCTGCCTTCTCTCCTGGAGGGGTGAGGAAGGAATGGAGGATGCCAGGGAAAGCAGGCTAGAAGGGACGGGCATCAGAGAGCTTAGCTCTGACTTGAACAGAGAGGGAATTAATTCGACAGACACCTAATACGTGCAAAGCAAAGCAATAATGAAGAAGACATGTCTATGGCTGGCCTTATCAGGCTATAATCATCTGCTAATAGAGTTTATACAGAACTGTAAATAAAGGCAGAATGAGACTTGTAACAGGACAAAGAATCCTGAAAAGGGAAATCAACTAGCAAAGCTTCAGAGTCTTAAAGGGGAGGATTCCGACTAGCAGAAGAGGGGCAGAGAGAACAAGATGAGCAAACATGGAAGTGGCAAAGTTCAGGACATACTGAGAACTCTGGGTACAGAGGTGGAAAAAGCGACTCCCAGGCCTTGGCTCCCAGGAGGGGCAAGCTCAGATTAGGATCTAGGAATCTGAAGCTAGACTGCCTGGATTGGAATCCCAAACTTGCTGTGTAATGACAAGGCAGGTTACTTACCCTCTTTGGGTGTCCGTTTCCTTGTTCGCAAAGTAAAGATGGTCAGAGTCTACCTCAGAGGGTCGTTGTGAAGATTAAGAACTCAGTGCACAGGAAGTGACTAGAACAATGCCTAACCCACAACAGCCCTGCACCAATGCCGACAATTACCATCATATCACCTCCCACTTTTCGGAGCCAGCACAGCCTCTCCTCACCGTCCATTACTTCCTCATTCTCACCACACTGCTTCTGTAACAGAGAAAGGAGAGGCTGTGGTTCACCATCTCCCTTCAAGTTGTAAACTCCTTTCCCTTCCTGATAAGCACCAGGACTAAAGGTTCAAAGGGCAAACCCCTGCTTCCTCTGGTCACTCACATCTGGGGGCTGTTGGAGCCTAAGAAGGAAGTAGGCAGAAACGCAATTTCAAGCACACGTTAAGTTTAAAGAACAAGGAGGAAATACCACTGCCTTAGAGAAGACAGAAGCCTAAGTCAGGTGAACGTCTCCTGTTTAGAACTGAGGACAGCTGGGCAACTCTGCGCTAGAAGAGGATCTGGGCCAGCCTCTCTACACACCTGAGCCGCTATGCCCAGGCAAAAGAGGCTCAGGAAGGTTTCCTTCACCTTAGGAGGCTGTTTGCTGCCCCCTCCTCTCTACTCCAACCACCCCCAATGCAGGGATGAGTAACTAGAAGGCACTGAGTCACATGTGGTGATTCTGGCTGTCACCCACTAGCTGCTGTCACCTTATATGGGTTAGACTAGAGTAGTTGTCTTAGATGTTTCCTCACTTCCAGCACTGTCTCTCCCCCAGCAAGAGGCTGTATGAGGAACTAAGAAGGGTTGGGGGGAGAACTGAGGTGGAAGGAAGCAAAGTGAAGGCAGGCCAAGGAGGCAGGCATGGGAATGAAAGGAAGCCAAGCAGAGACGGGCACCCATCTGATGAAGGCAGGGAGGCAGGCAAAGCCTGTGGGTATCTACAGTTTGGAGGGGTTCAAGACTGCCCTGCGGAAGCCTGGTCCCAAGCCTCAGGATAACTAACAAAAATGGTCCACACTGTTTTTCAGGATGCATTAGCAGCCAAATCAATAACTATAGGGGGACTGGGCCCTAGCCAGCTATTACCTAAAAACAATGCATCCTCCTTCCCTCCCCCTGGGCCCAGAGAGCAAACCAGGACAGGGAAAGGGTGGGGGTGGCGGCAAAGGCAACAGAAGCAAGGAGGCTATAGCAGGCGGCGCTGAGGGGAGATCAAGAGCTAGTTCTGGGTCCCAGTGGCCTTTTCTGCCACAAGCAGGTGCCAAGTACCTAATACTTCAGTGTGAAAAGCAACCCCAGAAGCTAGTATCACGAAAAACCATCACTCTGCTTAGAAGTCTGAGAGCTGACAAATTAAAACCTAACAGCAATTATCCGTATTTTTAGCATGACAATAAAGTCTTAACATTCTGTTGCCATAGAGACGGGTAGAGAATGAAGGAGTCCCACAGAGCTCTGCCCCTGAACTTCAGACATTCTTCTCTTGGCTGGTCCCTACCTAGTGAGCCAGGTTCCTAGGCAGGCCCCTTGTCATAAGCCTTACAAAGCAGGTGGAGGAAGATGTGCACATCCCCTTCCTCAGGACAATTCCTGGAATACTCAGCATTCTGGAATTCACTGGTCCCAAGCCTGTGTCACCCCAAGCAGAGTCACATATGAAAAGCAAGAGTTGAGGGGACTGACTGAGGAATAGCGGACTTCGGGCCTGGGGAGCCCTGATGTATGAGGCCCAAACCCCTGTGGATACTGGACTGGAAGTTCCATTACAAAACAGCCAAAGGCGGGCACTGAGACTAATGGTAAGACTGGTGAACTTAGGCGGCTTCTCTGGCACTTAAACTCCTCAAGATCACGAAACACCTCTAGCCGAAGGTGCAAAATGTGCTACCGTCACACTGCCATCTGGTGGGAAGACAAGATCTGTCCTTAGGCGCAGGGACAGACTGTTAGTGTGTCCAGTGACAAGGTAGGTTCAGAAATATTTAAGATGGGGAGGGGGCAGGGAATAGTTAAGATGAAGACCTATGGAGGAGACCCACAGGGCTGAGAGTATAATGCAGACAGATGGGGAACTCCATCCAGGTGTGTGCCTTCTGTCCATTTTAATTTCTAAGGAAGGTTAGAGAAAACAAAATGAAAATAAAGGGAAAAAACATAAAGGCATTACAAATGTTTTATATCCCTAGAACCATTCACGGTTCTGGCTCATGAGAAGTTATTAACATCAGACACACCAACGGACAGAGACCACACACATATGGGCAGAAGCCACCACAACAGTGGAGCTTGCCTTTTACACAAAGTTTGTATGTATGTATGCACATACGTACATACATATGCAGGTGTGTGTGCATATACATATACACACATACGTATACATATAGATTTTATGTACACAGACACAGGGGTATAAAAACCAATGAAAAGGGCTCACATGTGCCCAGGCAGGGGACAGGAGCAGCTTTAATAGCTGGGGTTGAACCCACGGTAGAGGCACATGGGAAATGGTAGAGAGTAGCAGCCTCCTCTCCGTCCTTCCACCCTGCGCCACAGGAAGGACCTGGGAGGAAGGACAACTATACAAAGGAAGATGGAAGATATTGGAAAGGTATCCCACCTTTCACTGAACTCCTGAAAGCCCCAGCCCTAAACCATCCAAAATGCCTGGCAGGACACTGGCAGGATAGATCACTCCCACACCTCCCAGCAAGATGCAGTTCTGGCCCCAGGCTGAGGCTTAAGGCAGGCTTCACAATGCGCATGTCCACGCTATCTTCCAGGCCTGTGCAGCAGCAAGCCAACATCTTCAAGGTTCACTGCCCCCAACCCCAAACTCCAAAGTCCTCTTGGACCAGAGTTCTTAAGGGTTTTCCTCAACAGATTGTAGGGAAAAGATATAGGAAGAGGAGAGAGGTTAGTTCCTTCAGTTAATGCCCTAGGGCCTTCCCAATGGGGGAAGAATTGAGGAATCACCAAGAGGTGGTTGGAAAGAGCAATGAAGGTCACCCCAGAAAACAACATATGCGGAGAAACAGGTGTTCAATTGGTGCAGATTCTGTCCTCTTCGACTAATGGCTTTGCTCAGCAGAGTCTGTTCCCAATGGGGCCCTGGGCAGGAGCTCTTCCCGAGTCCAAGGGTGGCCCCAATTCCCGCAGAGCCAACGTCCATGCGCTCAGGATGGCTTGGTCCACAAAATGGAGAAGGCGCCATGGAAAGGTCGATGTGGAGAAGGGAGTGGCAGGACCCAGAGGCACAGGGAGGCAGTGTACTGTGCCACTGATTTACCTATGGCAAGGAGAAGAGATCAATGGGAAGCTAAAGGAAAGAAAATAACCAAAGGCTAAACTGAGCCAGACCCTGAGACTCACATGGTCTGAGGGGTAAAGAGGCTGGAAAGCTGGAAGCACTGGGAGGCGATTGCCTGGGAGGCAAGGTTCAGGGCTGGACTCAGAGCTGCAAGAGAGAGGCGCAACGAGTTAGTGAGCACAGAGCATTCCCTCTTTCCAGGCCCCAACCCCTCCTCCCTTTCCCAAGTCCAAGTCTACCAGTCAGAGCCGCAGGGTTCAGGGCCCCCAAGGGAACCGTCCTGTTCAGTTGCAAGGCGGCAGCAGCCTGGGCGGCGGCGGCAGCAGCTGCAGCTGTGCTAGGCAGCTGGATTCCGGAGCCTAAAAGGGACAGAGAAGTTGGTATTAAGTCCCAACTCCTGATCTGAAATTCCACCCCACATTCTTCACTCTGCAGAGAAACTCTCTCCACCTTCTGCCAATTTGGCCATGAGCTGCAAACGTCCACCTGCAGATCCCAGATCCAGCTCCTGGTCCCCATCCGGAAAAGTGATGTCTGTGCCACCATCCAGTCGCTCGGTCACATGGCCAACTCTCATAGGTCGGCCAGCAAGCTCAAAGCCATTCAGTTGTTCCAGGGCCCGCCGGGCACACTCAGAGTCTGAGAACTACAAGAAACCCAGGCTGTGTATCAGTCACTTCCTGGCCACGGACATGCTCACAAAGCCCTGCTACCACCACCTAGTCCTGCTATCCCAGGAAATTGCATGCTCACTGTGGCACAAATTGTTCTGTCCCAGGGAATGTGACCCCCATCCCCCCAAAATGATCATGTGAAAAGGACCTTTTCCAACTGACTCAATGGCAATCACTTCCAACTTCCAGCTGCACTAAGAACCTAATAACGCAAAAAGTCTGTTATCTATAGGGTGGCCTACCCTTACACGCTGCTTCACAAATGAGCATATCAATGGAAGAAAGACAGCCTGAGAGTCAAGGTTCCTGGGCTTTTCTAATTGCAGCCCTCAAGACTAGTCGGTTTCAATTCTCAGTCAAGAAGTAGGAATCTGGAACTCCAGAGCCCAGCCGTAGGAGGGAGTGCACCCTGGCATGGGGAGCAAGACTGCACCCCACCCCTACGCCTCCACCAGCGCTGCTGATCAGAGCTCTACCACCCAGCAGCACGGGAGCAGCCTGGTACAGAGAAGATTCCAGTCTGCTGTTGAAGTGTCAAGGGTAATGACCGAAAAGGTGGCAGCACGAGGGCAAAAAAGCCTCACAAAAGGTTTTCTGCATCTGAGTCACCAAGGAGTTAGAAGAGGTACTTGCCACCGTGAACACCAGGGCTGGCTTTGTTTCCTCTGGTAGCACCTGCCCTAGGGCCTGGCACGTGGTACTGACAATTCCTAGGCAAGTGGTGTAGGTGGTGGCCTGCCTTCACTGGATACTTCTGAGGTGAGCAATACCCCTGGTAGAACACAACTTATCTCCCCTCTGCCCTGCAGGCAACTGCGGGGGGTGTATGCTGCCTGGACTGAACCTAGAAAATATCAGCTTCTATGAGACTCTGTGGCCGGCAGCCAGTCCTCAGCCTGGAGTCACACAGGGCTAGAAGAACCAGTTATGGGAACTGGAAGCAATTTTGTTGGGAGTGTCAGGAAAAGGTAAGACATGGCCTCGCTATTCTCCCTATAGCGGTCTCTGAATATAAAGATACTTCTCAATGGAGAAACTGCTTCAGATGGGGTACTGCCAGAGAAAATAAATAAATCCCTATTCCTGCTCCTACCTTGAAAACATACCATGTCTATAAAAGCCCACACCTAACCTCCCTCATGCCCCCAACCTTTTAGCTGCAGCCTGAAATCATTTCTATTACCCAAAGAGCAAGTTGCGGCACCAGGGAAGCTGGTTGAACTCCTGGACACCCCCATACCAGGGCCACTGACAGTGTGCAGGAGCAAAGTCAAGATCTCAAGCAATGCACTCATCTCAAGGGGCAGAAGGCTAGTCCAGGCTTCAGGCACCAGGGCTTATGGGTCATTTAGACAGTTCCTAAAGGAGGAGGATGAAGCTAAGCTGCAAAATCAGACAAGTGGACAAACCCACACTGAAATTCAAAAGTTAAAGACCAGAGACTCACCGTAATGAAACCATAACCTTTAGAACGGCCTGTATCTGAGTCCTTCATCAGGACAATATTATCAATCTGTATAAGAGGGAGAAATTATTAGCAACCTTTGGGCTAACCCCCACCTTTGATCTTTCCTGCCTGACCGTTCAAACTACCTCTAACTTTGTACCTCTAACTACCTCTAACAGTTCTAACTCTCCAAATCTTCTCTTTAAAAAGAGACAAAGACCACCTCTTTCCAAAACACCTTTCCTGGCTCATCTTACTGAATCTGGACCCCATTATTTGAGCTCACGGTGCCTAACTCATCTGCATACTGAGCACTTGGAATATGAAGATGGAGCCTAACTCTGCCGGCATGGACCCATCCGCTCGTCCTGATGGATGCAGTGGGTTAATCGCGGTCAGGCAGAAGAGACAGGCTCACCCTCCCCATTTTCTCCAATTCCCTTCAGAGTTTTCCTTCACTTTCTACTCACTTTGCCAAAGGGCTCAAAGATGCCCCGGAGCATGTCCTCCGTGATATTGAAGTGCAGGGAGCCCACATAAAGGCGCATCGGCCCGCTGTTGCCCTTCTGCAGGTTGTTGGCCATGGCTGCCAGTCGGTTTTTTTCAGCCTAGGCGAGGAGGAACCGATGGATCGCATCCCACACCCCCTCCCTCCAAGGCCATCTTCTCATGTCAGCTTTGCAACATGCTCACCTGTGAAGCCTGGACAATGATGGGCACTCCAAGCAGCCGTTGCCCAGTCAGCCCAATGGCCAGCGGCACACACTGGATTTCACAGAATTCCACGTAGGCGATGCCCTTAGAACGCCGGGAGTTCCGATCAGAGATGATTCGGACATCACGAACCTATCCAGGGCAAGAAGGAAATCCTGAGTTGGGCATAAAGGAGAATGCACAGAAGACAGCTATACGTGGGAGAAAGCTAAGGCAGGGGGAGGGTTACCTTGCCGACAGCAGAGAAAAAGTCCTCCAAGTCCCGAGGCCGAATGCGGGCAGCTAACTGCATACAGAAAACTGTGCGGGCATCACGCTCCTCGGGACTCAGATTATCAATGGGCTCCCTGAAGAGCGAGTACAATCTGGTGAGACGCCCGCTCCCGATACATGGTTATTGTTCTCCAGCTCCCCTCCAGTACCACACATTCCTGTATTCTGGCTCAAACGGCTTTCTAGTCATACCTCACAGTCCCTGGAAGAGTATCAACTCACCTGACTGGGCTCTTTTCTCTGAAATGAGGACTCTTACTGTGTGCGTACCTGCGCCTATGGAACAGAGAATGACAAACGGAAAATCGTGTCATCCGATTTCACCTGCGCTGGTCCACTGCTTGGTCTTCTGGCACGAGAAAACCAGACTGCAGCACCTCATCTCACGTGGGAATTGTCACCACCACCCCTCCAGTACCAGGGTCTCCTGCCCGCCACATCGGGTTGTGAGCACCCGCAGGCAGGAACCACAGCGCGGGGGGTTTACCCAGACCCCAACACAAAGGCCACCATCGTATGAGCAAGAGGCGATACCCAGTGGCAAGCGGCGGGCTCCTGTAGCGCACGCGGTCCTCACGCCGCCGGTCCCGACTGCGAGTCTCACTGCTGTGCCGCCGGTCCCGGCTCCGGCTGCGGTGGCGACGCTGCCGGTCTCGACTTCGGCTCCGACTGCTTCTCCGCCTGTGCCGGTCCCGCTCCCGACTGCGGCTACAGGTGCGAGGCGCTACTGAGTTTGCTAAAGGGCAAACCAACCTCTTCCGGCCTCCGAGGGATAGCTCTCCCATTTAGAGTAATTCTCAAAGCCCCAAAGCCCCCAGAACCACTGACCTGCGCTTTCTATCCCTGCTTTTACTATGGCTCCGACTCCTCTTCTTCCTGTGAAGGAGCAGATAAATTCTCATTATCAAGAGGATCTTCTCTCCCCCAAGGAAAACGAACGACGGAAAGGCCAGGTGGAACAGCAGTAAAAGACCAAAGAGCCCGGGACGCCTGGGTGGCTCAGTCGTTAAGCGTCTGCCTTCGGCTCAGGTCATGATCCGGGGTCCTGGGATCGAGCCCCACATCAGGCTCCCTGCTCCGCGGGAAGCCTGCTTCTCCCTCTCCCACTCCCTTTTCTGTGTTCCCTCTCTCGCCGTGTCTCTGTCAAATAAATAAATAACATCTTTAAAAAAAAAAAAAGACCAAAGAGCCCAAGATGACCTGGCAGGAGTTCACAGGAGCACCAACTCGCACACAGCCCTGAATGCTGTCAGGCATCTGAAGTGGCCATTTCCCCCCAAAGCCCAGCAAAAGTTGTTGTTTCCAAATCAGGGGTCCCCTGGCTATTTTATTCAATTGAAACAGAATGATGATGGTAGAAGAGAGCCACAAGTCTATGCTGGAATGTGAAGACTAGAAGATCATTAAACCAAGTCACCATGATTCCCAGGACCCAGTAGAGCCATCACTAAAAATCAGCAGTCTTACAAGCAACCACCTCCCTGGCTCTGGCTATTTCTCCGATGGACGCAGTTGCTTCCCCTGCCCAAGCTGCCGACCCACTTCCTCATGCCACACTTACTTGCTTGCCTCCCCACCGGCGCTGCTCCCACTGGTGCTGCTACTGCTCGTGCTGGTGTTGCTAGGGCCATCTTTTTTAACCTCTTTCCTTTGCTGTTCATCCTGAGGGGTTTGCCAGGAAAAATGTCACCAGGTACAAGGTGGCAGACACATACACATTCCAATGGGCAACAAAAGAACAAAAGTGGACAGAGAAGAAAGCTTGTGAAATCAAAGTTCACAATTATCTAGCCAGTTTCTGAGCACCCGGATCTCCTAACAAAGGGAATAAGAGAAGAAGGAAGGAAACCACCCAAAAAGAAGAGCTCAGAGTGACAGATTTTGATGTCAAAACTTGAGCTACCCAACATCTGTTCCACTGACATCCATTTCCCAGGACAGTGAGAAATTATTTAGGTCTGAGATACACTGACTTTCTACTGTGTCATTGAGAGTTCTGAGCAGAGCACTTATTCCCAGCACATTCTGCTCCCCCCCACCTCCTCCCGCCCCTTGCCCCAGCTTTGGGACCGCCTCTGTCAGCATGCCTCTGAGTACGGAAGCTGGAGAGTGGGGCTTACTAAAAAACTATGACTTGCACGAATAGCCACGATACGTAATAAACAAGCAGGGAAAAAGAATTTACAAAGTATTGAAACTGATGATCTATAACTGCTTCTTCTTACTAACCCAATTCCAGCAGTAAGATGGGGATTATTACCTCCTCTTTTTTATAGGGAGCCTCCAGCATGGCCTCAATCACTATATCAAAGTCATCGGACGCCATCGTAGCAGACCTGAGGAGAGGACGTGGATATGTAAGAACCTCATATTTTTCCTCCCCTTCTGGCACCCTACATTCCCTTCCTTCTCCAAGACATAGACTTGAGAATATACAGTTCTGTTTCTTGAATTCCACATCTTCCTGGCTGTTGCTTACTCTAGGTTTATTTTTGCACACTTTAAATCTGAACTAGTTTTGCTCTGTGGCTTTGAAAAGGTAAAGTGTCTAGAAAGAAAATAAATATCTAGATAGAAACAAAATACAATACAGACCCTGTCCTGTGAAGAAAAAGTGTTGGCATTCAAAATTACTATTCACTTGACAATGGACACTAGGCCTCCATTCTACAGTTCAAAATTCTGTATAAATAACTGGTTTAAACTTAAATCATAGAAATAAGCACATATTTCCAATAAAAAGGTAAGGATGTAAGACTAAAAATCAGGAACAAAACAAAACAACACCAGAATGCAGATCTGCCCTAAGCTCTTCCCCACATCCCCCACACAAACATCAGTAATTAGGGGACTCATCGCTAAGCATTTCCCATATAACACCAACTAGAATTCAGGTAACTCAGAAAGATAATGATTAAGACAGGCTTAACCAATTCCACCCTTGAAGCCTGTCTAGGCAGGAAGGGTAAGACTTTCTGCCTCCCCCAAGCTTTCACAGCTAGCAACCATCTTTCCTAAGTCTGTCCACCTCAGGCCCATCAAATAAAAAAAAAGTAATAATAAAAAAAGAAACCCAGAAGATATCGGGGCACCTGGGTGGCTCAGTCAGTTATGTCTGCCTTTAGCTCAGGTCATGATCCCAGGGTCCTGGGATAGAGCCCCTGCTCGGCTCCCTGCTCAGCGGGAAGTCTGCTTCTCTCTCTCCCTCTGCCTGCTGCTCACCCTGCTTGTGCACGCACTCGAGCTCTCTCTGTCAAATACATAAATAAAATCTTAAAACGAAAAAAGAAAAACAAGACATCAAACAAAACCAATAGGATAAATTATTCAAAAAATACTGGTCTCAAATTATCAATATACACAACACGCATGAATCTTAAAATAATTATGCTGAGTGAACGAAATAAGACAAAAATATACTGTGTGCTTCCATTTATAGGAAAAAATTCTAGGAAATGTAAACTAAACTGTACTGGCAGAAAGCAGATCAGTGGTTGCCTAGGGATAGGAGGAGGTGGAGAGGGGCTAGGAAGAAAGGATTACAAAAGGGCAGAAGAAAGTTTTGGCGGTGATGGTTTCATGGATATTTAAACATCAAAACCCATCAAACTGTACACCTTAATGTGGACAGCTTTATTTTATGTCAATTATACCTCAATAAAGCTGACCAAAAAACAAAAAAAAACCTCCAACTAACCTGAAGAACTTCTGTGCAAGGAGGCTAATCATAATCAGACTTTCCATATCCACAAGACCTTTGTCCTCTTTAAAGCAGCTAATGCATCATCCACTGATGCTGTCCTTGTTGCCCTCAGAGCCCATAGCCTATTTTGGTGATTTAAGAATAAAACAGGAGTACAAAAGTAATAACTAATATAAAATAAGTAATATAAAAATATGACTAATCACTCCTACAGTACCTAATATTGCTAGGTACTGTACTAAACCTGTTACAGAGACAAGATTCTTGGAAAGAGCAAAACAAAAATTACCTGGAGCCAAATTTAAGACTTAAAATGGAAACCAAATTAAAATCAAATAGGTGTGTCTAAGAACCAGTGAACTTGGGGCACCTGGCTGGCTCAGTCAGTAGAGCTTACGACTCTTGATCTCAGGGTTGTGCGTTCCAACCCCATGTTGAGTGTACAAATTACTTAAAAATAAAATCTTAAAATAAAAACAGTGAACTCAATCACTTATTATAATAACACTGTACATTTATTTAACAATCAAAGGTAACATATGCTAAAAGCAGCTATCAGGTCCAATGCACGATGAAAGAACAGGTTTTGTGAACTGCCCAGAACCACAAAGCTTAAATGGAGGCGCTGACTCTTGATTAAGGTCTCCTGACCCAAAGTCTAACGTCTTGTCAATTCTATCAGGTTACCTCTCTCTCCTGTACTTTATAATTCAGCCTTAAATTTTATTTTATTA